AGCCTTTGTTTCTTAAAGTTTTCTTTGTTACACGGCTGATGAATAGCAGGAAGCCAACATCTTATCTCTGTGCCTTCACCGGTGGTGCCACACAGCCACAAGCCAACCGCTGGCCAACCCTTCCCCACCTGCAGCACCCCAAGGTGAGCCAACACGGATTCCCTTGGGATGCTCCTGACAGGGCTGGTGACAGCAAGAGAGAGCTGGGACTCGCTGAGTCCATGGAGGGCTTGCTGCTGGCAGGGGGACCTGAGCTGGACCCACCCCAACCCACCCCAGGGGTACCCTCCTCCAACCCTTGCCTGTGGGAGGAAGCCCTCAAGGACAGAAAGACATTTTTCCCCCAGCACGTGAGCAAATACAAATACATACATCTGCCACAGAAGCATAAGGGGTTTCTAAATAAAATGTTGTCAGCCACTCGCTGAGTGCTAAAGTGGTGTTAAGCTGCAGAAAACAGTATTTCCTTTGGCATTTCAGACAGTTTCGAACCAATGTTTGAAACTCAAAACCAGTGCCAAGCCTAAACACATCTGGTTGATCCCAGGCCACAAATAGCACAGGAATGCCTTCAACACCTTCCAGAACTGCCATACTGAAAGCTTAATTCCAAAATAGAGCTGACAAAAAATACTTGTCAGCATGATGCCACACGACAAAACTCAGCAAAGCATGATGCAACCGTGAGATATCCAGACATAACATATGGTGCAAAGATTGGAATTAGTGAAGACCGATCACCAAACTTAGATTGCAGAAGGCAAAAAATAAAATCAAACATTAGTACCTTCAGCCAGATTTTTTCATTTGTGTTTTTTTTTTTTTAAATTTTAGAAATGTCAAATTATAATCTAAGTGTCATTCAGCTGAGTGGTGCAACCATGCAGGCAGATATGGTGCAAATGGGTCATTATTTTATATTTCATGTGATTTTTCATGGATATTAAAATCCTGGTATTTGGTGCCTGAAATGTGGATCCCTGCTTTGCATGTCCTATTGCTAGAGCAGATCGTTAGGAACTTATTAGTGAACTGGCCTGATTCCTTGAGCGTATTTATCATGCTTAGCTCATGCAGCATGTGACCAGAACAGGAATAAACTTCACACCAGAGCTCTTCCATCCTGTCACTTGTGAAAGTGTGATGTTTCTTTAATTTTAAAGAAGCAAAAGTGGGGAGAGGATGAGTAGGGTGGACTGCCAGCAAAGAGCAAAAGGCTAGGAAACACCAGCATGGAAGGAAATCCAGCAGGAAAAAATATAAATGCTTTCTGATTACTCAAGGATCTCAACTTCCAGGAAAACTCAAGCTGCTCCTTTATAAACCTGATCTGATTTTTTTCACTGGGATATGAGAGCACAGAAAGTCAGGCAAAGAAAAAACTCCACTTTCATTGCAAAGTTGTCAAGAATGAATACCAAGGACTATGCTAATTTTTTTTTTTCTATCCAGTCACAGCTACCTTCAAGTCCCACTGTGAAAGTTCACATTTAATAAGGTGTGATTAACGAATCCTCAAGGAAGCCAAAATTGTGTTATGAAATGAAGGGGAGATCTGGCAGCAAGGAAAATACAGGAGAAACCACAGCTAAAGTAACCCAAGTAACAGGGAAGCTAGTAGATGCCTGGAAATTAGGACTCAGACTGCATTTCTTTGTAATAGAGTTTCCTAGGTCTGCACACATGCAAGGTTTCTTTTTTTTTTTGCTTTATTTCCTTTTATAGTAAAATTGAAAATTCAAACTTGATCTATTGAACTATAGCAGCATTACTTGGATGAACAGTTTCCTAAATCTGCATTTCTGCCAATTTAACCTGTTGGTTAAAAGTCAAACTCAAAGAAAACCCTGGGCTTTGAGCTATAAATGTATTTTGGCTTTCAACATCCAGCCTTGACCTAGGGGTGCACCAAATCCAGAGCTGGAGTCAGCTACCTGCGATTCAGGGCACAAGTTTAGCCACGAAGGGGAAATCCCAGAGTCTTAGCTCAGGAGATTTAAGCACGATCAAGTCACTCACTCAAATTAGCTTAAAATCCCAAAGCACTCTCAGCCTAAGCACTCTCAAACCCCGGCACTGCCAGTGGAAAACCCTCACGAGTGAGGTGGGAGCTTTCCCAGTGCTACCAGCACCCAATGGGATGAACCTCTGCCCTGACCCAGTTGTCCTGCTGGTTACCCTCGGAGCAACACATTGATGTCCCCTCGCTAGTACCTTAATAATTGCTAATTTTGTTTCTTTTTCGCTCCTTGCAGACTTTCTGCTTGACCTCAGCACCTTTTTAGTGTCCTCCTCACTGAACTGTCCATGTTATCTCAGTCCCTCCTTCTGATTTACTTTTCCCTAACATCGACAAGCCTAACCCTTGTCTTGTTCCACTTCACCATCACTTCTCCATTACTCTGAATTCCCTGATTTTTTTTTAAGGCACATTACATCTGATGCCCACTACACCCTTCTCTGTCCCATCCTGGGAAACATTTGAGGTCAGATTGGATGGCACCCTGAGCAACCTGGTCTAGTTGAAGGTTTCCGTGGTCATTTCAGGGACTAGATGACTTTTAATGATCCATTCCAAAACCCAAACCATTCCATCTATGATTCTCGCCCCACAGTTGTGCTCCATCCAGCTCCCAGCACCTTTTTTTCCTCAAACAGAAGTCAACCACCTCCACTGATCTCATCCAGACTTGCCTCCACCCACCCTTCCAAAGACTAGGGGATGTGCTCGTCCCTCAGTCTTTGCCTGCTTTGCCACACACAGATGCAGCCTTGCAGGGAATCATCCATATTTTATAAATTAATTTAGAAATTAATAGATTAAAATACTTCATATTTTCATATTAATTTATGTTAGCACTAAAAAGGCAATGCTAGAGCTATTTAGTCTACCACATCCATATCAAGACCTCAGTTTTGATCTGAGGGAACTTGACAGCTTGGGCAAAGTTCTTTGTTCAGACACCACACAACATACCTTAGCAGTGCTCAGTCTGCAGCTGTTACAACACTAATTGAAATATGTTTTTAAATGTATCAGGTTTCTGAATATTTGAAGAATTATTTTCTTCCCCTCATGTGCAAAACCCAGCATTTCAGCCATTTAAAATGAGTCTTTAATCCCTACAATGTGTTAGTAGGTCATAAAATAAAGCTGGACTGAGGTATTTTACACTGGGGATGGGGATAAGTCTGCAATTGTAGGTGGATAAGGGGGACCTACAACTTTAGGAAACCATAGGATCCCCAGCTGGTTTGGGTTGGCAGGGACCTTAAAGCTCATCTCATTTCACCCCCTGCCATGGGCACTAGACCAGGTTGCTCCAAGCCCTGTCCAACCTGGCCAGAGCCTCACCACCCTCACAGTGAAGACTTTCTTCTTAATATCTAATAATACCTCCCTAATGTCTAAAATCCTAATACCTTAACCCACTCTTGTTCATTCTGAAGCCATCATCTTGTCCTAGAGCACTGTCATGCAGTGTCACAGCATCCATAACATCATTGCCATAGAGATAAGTCAAAAGGAAGCAGATTTGACATCCCACCCCACAGGTTGTATCCAATCCATGAGATCCCCCATGTCATCCATGGGGGCTGGAGCTAGGAGAGATGGACCCAAGGAAGCTCACAGAAGGGCTCACCAAACACTTGTGTTCTGTCAGATGGATGAGTGACGTAGATGTTACGTTTTGCAATGGAATTAGATGATAAATCTCTCTCAAATATCTAGAGGAAATGTTTGGGCTTTTTTTTTTCCTTCATTGCAAAACACAGGTTCCCATGGGGGCCCACGCTCAATCTACAGAGGGGAAATTATAACTAATCTGTTTGCAAAGTCTCTAAAATTGCATTTCTGTTAAAACAAGACAACAACAAAAACATATCAGATAGTAAGTATCTCTCGATCTTCCTGGGCTAAAAGTCTTTGACTGAAAAGCTGTGCATTTCCCATTTGCAGTGGTATAAAAGTCATAAGACATCAGATCACAAGCTGTCACTGGTCCCAGACTAAATATCACCCATTCTTTGCCTAAGGCAAGTGGGTCTCTTTTCCATGGGAGGGGGACAAACAGAAATCCCACTCTTCAGAGGAGAGAAGGAAATATTTTTGTGACAGTTTGTTTTTATTTTTTTTTTTAAGGCAGTTCTTTTGAAGCTGCTCGGGGGTTTGGATGTTAGATGTAGTCCCAATGGAGATGGATTAGTGGCCAGAGCATAGCAAAGCGGTCAAAGGTGCAAGATAAATGCAATTTATATATAATTGCCCAAGCTGCACCTGTTCCATTTTCAATAGGAGACCTTGTCTGCAGACACAAACATAGAATATATCCTTTTTTTTTTCTTTATTTGAGTGTAAAATGGGGAATTCTAAACTTGTATCAGAGTAAAGCAAGAAAAAATAACCTTTAAATAGCATGTAAATTTTTTATGAATCAAGCTCTAAATAAAGAAAACTCCCAAGCTGGGAATTCAAAATACTAGCCAGAGAGAGCTGATTTGCTACCAGGCTCAAGAACAATATTTAGTTTACAGAATCAATCTGGAAATAAAACTAGTGCTTGCATCAGCATGAAAGCTACAAAAATAAAAAAGAGGTCTTAATAAAATATACAGTGGAAAAGGAAAGGATGAAAGCCCTAGCACAGCTATGAGGCCCTCGGCAGCCCGCACAAGTAATAAAATAGAATATGATGTAATATAGAACAACAATGAAAGGATTTTAAATTTCTAGGTAGGATTCTGAAAAACTGTTTCCAGCTTTTGTTGCAGAGCAGGCGTGCTGAGAGTTCCCCTGTGAAGCGACAACAAAGCCGGTGTGTGGCAGACACGGGCGTTGACGAGGGCAGAACAAACATTAACCTTCACCTTACTCCTCCATCTCTGGACCAAGTTCCAGGATACTTCTGTATTTCTAGATGCTCCATTCTGTTTGCTCTCCTGCTCACTCACCCACTCCTGGCTCCCTCCTTATCAGTAGCACAAAGAATTTATTGCTCACTGAAGCACCAATGCTTTGCCATGAAGGCAACCACCTTTTTCACCTTTCATAAGGAAAGTGTCTTGAACCTTGTGCTAAGCAGCTTGGAAAAATCTGAGATTAGACACATCCCATATTGGCTCAACTAATTTCAGCCTGTCCAAATTAGGATGAGTCTGTAAGACTCCACAGGAAAATCATGTGAGCACTGAATGCCTGTGCTACCTGCCATGCTCTACACCCTAATTACAGTGCTGCATCCCCTGGCTTTAAGGAAACAGGACCTTGTGAAGCTCAAACTCTCAGAGGGACACATAACTCCTCTCAAAATTCAATGGCATCCCAAAATTAAATTGTCAGAATTTGGTTCTGCAACAAACAGTGGCCTCTACACTAAATTTCAGATGAGCCAGAACCAATGCAATTCACTCGTTGCAGTAACACAATAAATTTTTCTTCTCCCCATGAAGCTGAAAGCTATTACAGAATACCACCAATACTGCACAAATTAAAAACTATGGATTGTGAAATTTGTGGCCCTTTTTCTACTGTGTCCCAGCTGTGGCAGGCATGGTGTACAGAGGTAATCACAGAGTTCTTTGTCCTGAGGCTGGTCACATGGTCCTACCAAAACTTCTTGGGTTGACAAAAAGAACTGGCCAAATCCTGTTCGTGCCATGGCATGGAAACTCAGCTCCACTGCAACACCTAAACATTCCTGTTTTCTCCTTCACAACACTTGATCAACAATAAGCAATAATTCAGACAACTTATGTAGTTTTACCTGTCAATGTATTACTTGAAATGATTTCTCTGTGATAAATTTTTAGGGGCCTCTGCCTGACTCTTTTAACCCTTGTTCTATCACTGGCTGCAATAGGTACATGGACCTTGAGAAAGGGTGACAAATAAAAATCTGATTGTTCCAAAGTTCTAATAAAACACAGATATTCTTTTTACACAGAAAAAAGGAGATTGTTATAAACAACATCCATGATTTTGTGCTTCTCCAGGAAAGACAAGGAAGCATTCCAATTCCTCCTAAAACATATGAAACTACAACAGGTCATGATCTGCTGCTCAGAAAACAGCAACACCCTGAGAAAAAAGGGGTTTTTTTCTCTTTTTTTAGGTTTCAAAAAGTTGTTTGAAAAACCTGGGCCTGCATTTACAATGACCCCAAAGGCAGAAGAGGGTGTTACTTTCAATTTGGTTCCTTCCACTGAACATGGACTGCAGTTTCACACCTATGTTATTAATGCAATTACAAGCTCTGCCTGAAACTATCAAATTAATTTGAAATTCACTTAAGATGCACCTGAGCCATCAGCCAGAGTGCCAGTGAGTGCAGTGTGCCTCCTGAAGGCTGTGCATGAGGTATTGGGGCTGGCCCAGCCAAGCCCTTCAGAGCTCCCAACCACTCAAGCACTGGCATGATGCACTGAGGCTCCATAAAAGCAAACACATCCCTGATAATAGTACTTCCCACTTTATCCAGTGAGCTCCATTGCAGAATATCATGAATTAATATTTACAACACCCCAGAGAGGCGGGCTGGTATCATTTCCCTGTGTTTCAAAGCTGGGAGAAGGTGAGAGAAAGCTGAAGCAATTTTCTGTAATTCACAGAGGAAGTCTGTGGTGAGGAAGGGGAGAGTGCAGCGCTCTCACTGCCTGTGCCTCTGCCACAAGACAATCCTTCCTGTCCCTAAATGCCAGGCTCCAGCCTGATGATGTGCTGTAGTTCTAGCATATTAAATCTGACACCCCATACATGTTCTGGATCATAAGGCTGAGTCCCATAAAACTGATGGACGTGAAGTTTAGAAGCCAAAAGAGACAGAGGAAAGAAGCAGGAGAAGAGTCCCTGCCTTGCAGCTGTGTGGCATTTTTCTAGGCAGTAGGTTCCCATGCTACTTCAAGACCATAACATATTTTTGCTATTACGAATGCAGTTTATTTTGCAAATCAAGGTGATTGCACACATTTCAGCTTGTCAAATTTTCAGCCTTTCAACCATATGTCTGTCGACCTTATGGACTACCAACTTTATGGGATTCAACCATATGCCCAGATCCCGATATATATGAAGGCCAGTTCTAACATAAGAGCTTTACAGTAGTAGTGTAGTAAACCATAATGTTTGCAGATGGCTGTAATAAAATCATTCAGGAGAGGAAAGGTGCAGGGACGTAAAGCCTTCAAAGCTTCTTCTACTGAATAAACAATTTGATCTGAATAATGTAGTGGGAAGCACATTCTGCCAGTGAACTGGCTGATCTAGTCCAAAATGTTGCTTTTAATTTTCTTTCCTAATCCCACGTGTATTTTAACTTCCTTTTGTATTTTCCTATGTGGGATTAGCTTAAAATTTGGAAGAAAAGTATAAGAAGGAAAAATAACAAAGTAAAGGATTTTGTTTTAAAGGCACAGTCCGCTTCTGAATTGTAAATTTTTCATCTGTGAAAAGCCAAAGGGTTATGTGGGGCCTGGAAGATGTATTAAAAGAGAGCTATAAGGTTTTTACCCTCACATGGTGAGATTGAAGGATGATGTGATTTGCTTCATTTCCTGAAGCAGGACTCAGCTTTCAAAGTTAAAGCAAGTTTCCTCCTGAGTAAACTTTTTCTAACTCTAGGAAGTTGGAGTTTGGTTTATGTCCTGCTGCGCAATAATTCAGATGATAATTCACCTTCTCTTTGTCCAACATAATTTGATATCTCTATTATTTGGGAAGCTCCGGTCCCATTTTCCCCTAACTGAAACATGCTGAGCCAATGTGTGGCCCTCAGAGAGCTCTGTCCTGGCTGACAGAGGGGAAGGGAGCACTATCTGTAAGGGGAACCATGGCCAGCATAGGTGTGATGGAAGATCTTTTTCAAACCAAAGTATTTTTTAAGCTGACAGTGCGTGGTGAGCTTTGGCAAGTTTCCTTGAACTAGACAAAAATCACTTCCTACTCAGGAAAGAAGGGAACCTTCCCTGGGCATTAACTGGGAAGTGAAAGAGTGAACTGCAACCTGCTTGTGCTGCTGGTGTGCAAAATCACAGCGAGAGGAAACCCCCTGAGCTGTCGACTTTCAGATAACTTGGCCAGAGCCAGGTCTCATGCTGCTAACGTCAGTGGCAGTTTTCCTATTGGATTAAATGGAGCTGGGTCAGATAGTGTCTAAGAAACAAGAACACTGTCACTCTTCCTTCCCATGCCAGACTTTGTGCTGACCAAGTTGCAGTTCTTTCTGAGTGCTAGGGCCTGTCTCATTTCAAGAGGGAATGAGATGAAATGCCTGAGAGATGATGATTGCCATAGCACCTACCAACAATCACCCCATCACACCCAACTGTCCTTCACCAAGCAATAACCATCAAGAAACCAAGAAAATAACCAAGAAAAATTTAAAAAATATGTCAGAACAGAGCAAAATAACTTTCTGAGTGCCTCAGCACCTGCACAAATGCACTCATGAAAGACTGTGAAGAACGAAGCACGACCCTCAATCCTGCCCTCAGCGTTCACAGCTGCCCTACCTGTGTGCTCGTATTTGTGTCGCAGCAGGGAACTGCTCTTCTGGAATGTCTTGTCACATAAGTCACACGCATACATGCCACTTTCTGTCTTCTTGATCTTCTTTCGGGACAGACAGGAGTCGGAGTCCGTCATGTCGTCGAGGCCGGACATGTAGTCTGGGGTTCCATCAAGCAATTCTCCCTGTGAGGGAACCACTCGTCAGCGACAGCCGCTCCCACCACCAATCCTGCCCACCAACCATCCCAGGGAGGGTAAAGTCATGCCTCAGTGGTCCCTCTTAGCTTAGGAATATGGATAATGAAACTACACATGATGGAAAGTATGGAAATACTTTCCAAATACAAACCAACCTTCTGTCTTTGAGCACTCTGCAGTAATATGGTTTGCACAAACCAACAGTATTTACTGAATCAACACTAAATACTTCCAAGAAAGTGTGAAGGGGAGGCTCTTCATGGCCAGCAAAAGGTATTATATTATTTTACAGAGGTAAATGTAAGCAACAGCTAAGGGATCATTCCTTTCAAAATTCCAGAACTTGGATGTATTCTGTATCTGTAGAAAGGTTTTAATTGAATTTTATATTTAGGTACAAATGTTATTATTATGCAATCCATTTAAATGTATGTCTCCCGACTAAAGGCCTCAAGCTATATTTTTATATTTAATTTTGTAATTTGAAATAGGGAATATTAATAACACTTTTTATCAATGTTCTATCTATGTTAAAACAGCCTTCAGCATTAAGCAATAATGAATGTGGATCAGTAAATTATTAAATTTCTTGATATTTATTTTGTCTCGATCCAAAGAGAGTGCAAACTTGCATGATAACATACATTTCCATTTGCTATCACACAGTTCAGTTTTCTTAGACTAGGTTTGCACTAATTAATATTAGAGAAGATTAAATAGGCTTAAATACATTTACAAAGAGGGCAGATGTACTGTAAATTGGAATAGTGGAACAGCTGTTATGGAGGTGCAGTGCTATTTATGCTCCTATTGTGCAAAGAGGGATTACAGTCTGTAATGTAAAACCGTACCTGATTTTCACATTTGAAACTATAAAACATTTACTAGTCAGTAAAATTACTAATAGACGGTAATAGGACATGGGGGAACAGGCGCAAATGTAAGAAAAAATTATTAATCTATAATCAGTTAATCTCATTTAACTAAACTCTGTACATTACATCTGAATACACCCAGAAAAAGGCTATAAAAGTACAAGACTTCTGTGGAGCTGCTCTTCACTTCAGGCATGCAAGAGACAAAATCCTTTGCTACATCTGCGCTGACTCTGGGATGACCTGAGGGAAGAACTGCGGGTTGTACATGGGCACGAAGAAGTGCTGACCCAGATTACATGTCCAGGGAAAGACTTTGTCTGCGATTAAGGGCCCTGGCTGCTACCTCTCCAAATAATTTCATTTAATCTCTTGGGTTTTTTCAAAGCTGTTCCAGATGACTGGCAGGATTAGAGGAACTAAGAGTCTGGAGAGAGCAGTAGGTAGCCCAAAGGAAAGGACTATGGGCCAATGTTTCTTATCCCCCTGACATTAGTGAGAAGAGAGGACAACTTTCCCATGAATGGTGGGTGAAAAATCCCCAAAAAATATGGAGAAGGGAACTCTGAAGGCTTTCAGTGGATTACAGTGTCTATGAGGCTGTGTGGACCTCTGCTTAGAGGGAAACAACTTTGTGTCCAAGTATGCAGATGACTCCAAAGGGGTCTCCCACTGCTCCTTTTCTCTTTGGTGAAATGTAGTTATGCCCTGAAAAGATAAATTTCCCTACAAAGTTTCCTTTTCTTTTTCTCTAGGATACAACTTTTTATGGGCATTATTATTATTATTATTAACATTATTATTATTATACTACTATACAAATCTAACAAGAAATGTCTGAATTCAACAGAACAGAAGTCATTACGCCTGTTCAAAGTAAGTGATACTGCTTCTGAATCCAAGTAGAGGTACTCTTTAATTAACTGCAGTTTATTTTCCTACTCCACCATGACTTTTCAAGCTCAGACTTAAACTCTGCTAATTTTGTTGGGAATGTTGACTATATAGGCCATGTGTGGTAGGAAGCTCATCTGATCTAGTCCTGGGTATGGTCGCAGCCCAGGAATACTGGTCTGGACTGGTGGCATAAAAGTGGCTGGGGGAAATGCGCTCTGTGGTGGAAGTGTTGTGTATAAAGGTTTGGCACTAAATGGGTTCATACCAAATACTGGGTTAGTGCTTTTATCCAGATTATTTGAATTAGAAAACTCCTTCTTGATAAAAGTCAAGTTCAGCGGCTCATCTGAGTTTTCAGATGATGAAGAAACACTGTTGTGTTCTAATTTTACACTATTAGATTTTGTTTTGTTCTTTGTGGCTATAATACTTTTGGGTTCCTTCATTTGTTTTGGTAAAGACAAGTCCAATGGCTCAGCCTGAAGCTCCTCAGAAGAGAAACTGTTTGGAGTGTAAGAACTACTGTGGGAGTTTTTAGAAGATGTGGAAGAAAGATTTAAAGGAGAAGGAGTATTGCTCCTAGAGTGGTCCAATTTATCAACTGGCTTAATATTGGTAAAATGAGGAGGTTTTGTTAGCCTGAGAGGAGTATCACAATTAGTAACACTGTTATGGAGTTCAGCTATAGATGGTGAAGTTATAGAGTCCACAGGCTTTATTTGAGATCTGGCTGACAAAGAGTCTTTAGTGGCAGTGTTGTTGGTGGCAGCCAGCGCCACCTTGGCACTGGCCCTTTCCAGTGATGGTGACCTGGAACTTGAATACTGGTAGACTTTTCTTTGTTCAAACCATTCCTTCACAAATTCCTGAGGAAGGCCAACAGCAATGGAAATTTTCAGTAGTTCATCAGAGTTGGGTTCCATATTCATAGCATAATATGCTTTAAGTACAGACATGTGGTCCTTATATGGGTTGATGGGGCTAGTCATTCCTTTCTCAGAAAGTACTGATGACAGAAAGAGGGTTTGCTTATCAAACACTCCAGGTTTGTTGGGAACCATGTTCTCATGAGGCTGAAGGACTGCCTTGATTTCTTCGTTCATTTTGCACAGGTAACGCTCATGCTGATGCAACGGAATGGGACCAGGAAAGCTTTCTTTACAGAACTGGCATGAAAATGGAGTGGACACATTGTGGTTCTCTATCATCTTGTCTTCAGTTACCAGGTCTATTAGGGTTCGCAGCTTCTCTTTTTTAATGTTATTGAGCTGCCTCCTCGAGTCTGTGGTCAAGCTCTGGAGGCAAGCTTTGGCTTCATTGACTTTCTCTAATGTATAGTCAATAATACTTTTAGTGGCACCATTATGACTTACTACTGGAAGACCCACGGGGGGAATATTGGGGGAGGTAACTCCTTGTTCCTCGGCTTGAGAGCATGAATCCTTCATATGGTAAACCTTCAACTTGGAGATCTCTTCAGCCTTGCAGTCCATTTTCTGCCTGGAAACCGTGTTGTCCACAATCTGTAGGACCTTCTGCACCTCGCTTAAATTGCTGCCTACCGCAGGAAACCCAAGCAACGGTGCGTCCATCCCTACACCTAAGTGCTGCATTGGACTTTGAGCAGACGCGTGAACTCCTAAGGGGCTGGTTGCTCCAAGTCCACCATTCATAAAAGGACTAGTTGCACTAAACCCATGTGAGGCCATAAGAACCTTGTACTCATTGAAATCTAGTGGTTCTGTTTTAATTTTCAGTAAGCCTGTTTGCTCAGACATACTAAGTGGTTTGCCATTCTCCAGCTTGTTTCTCAGCTGTGTGATGGCTGAATTGGTAGGAGAGGAAGATACAGAATTAGGAGAAGAACCCGTCTTGATATTGTTTCTCATTCTGCCATTTACAGAGATCAAACCAATACACTTCTTGCTGCTGATGTGCGAACTGTAGGAGCCAGAATGGGAGAAACGTTTCTTGCAGTTTGGACACTCATATGGTTTTTCACCTAAAATGATAATTAAAACCAAATGTTAATTATCATTCTTGCTGCCATAATTGCAAGAGATTGCATTTGGTATCTAACTGATCACCTGTGTATCCAGTGATTAATAGGGAAATATTGATTATAGAATTTCATAGGAACATAGGGACATGGCCACACACAAGCAGTGCTGTACCTGCTTCTTTCTACAGATTTTGAGGTCAGTATGGACCCAGGGTCTCCAGGTGGCAACATCCATCAAAGTGTGAGATTGGGTCCAGACTGACCAGGGCAAGTCACAGGAGTGACTTCTCTTCCCTGTGGGGAAGAAAGCCAAATAAAATCAAGACAGTTCAAATTTGATTTGTTTATTTATTTTTTTTTTCTCCCCTAAAATGGAATTTTCACCAGATATGAGCACCAGCATGAGAAACTGAGTCCTGATGTTAGAACCTCCACGTCAGTTTGTGCCTGGACTGAGCCTGGTGTCATTTTGTGTGCTGAATTCTGCACCAAGTAAGAGAGCCAAAATGCCCAAGTCATTCAATCTGAGAGGCTTGGCAGTTTCTTGTTATCTGAGAATATGAGTTGTATTTCACTCAGGGGGACTTTTTATTTTGGAAAATATAATGGACTCTTCAGGTTCCCACTGCACAGCAATGAATGAAGGCTTCTGAGCTCAAACTGCCTAACAATCTTTATTATTTGCAGGAAGCTTTACTATTTCCAAATCTTTTAGCGAGACCATGGTATTAACAGCATGATAAATGAGGATGACTCAGATATCACTTATGAAATACCTTGGTAGCTCCAAGAAGCCAGAAGCAGAACTGTGTAAATTTTAAGCAGTCTTTAAAACTCAGCTAATTAAACAAAATGCAAATGAGCACACCAGCACCTCCGCTACTCACCACTGTGAATTCGCAGGTGTTCCTTCAGATGGTGTTTATATTTGAAGGCCTTGCCACACTCAGTGCATTTGAACTTGCGATTGCCTGCTCCTTGGGTCAGCATTTGGTGCTGGGAGGAAAAGAAGAAAAAATAAGAGATACCAACATGAATTTTATGCAAGAGAAACCATGAATTTCAAGCTTAAAGACAAAAATTAAATTAATGTGACTCTGAATTCGTCAAGCGGACCACAAGGTCTGCATGTACATTTATTTGTCTCATCAGTGTTGCAATAAAAATCAAAATGTTGGCAGTAAACCGAAACAAATGAGAAAGTACTTTCACATGAGCATTCGATATTTGCTTTAGAATTATTTCCTAAGTCTCTCATCAGAAATGTGTTGCTTTAAGGTATCTTACAATGAGAGAAACAGTTTTATAAGAAGATTTGTGGCTCTTAATATTCCTAGCAGATTCTGAACATGTGGGACTCAGCTTGTTTAAAAATTCTGTTTACTGCATGTGGAGGAAAGAGAGAAACACTGTCGTTAGTGGCACTTCGTGTAAGATTTAATTCATTATCAAGCAGGAGAGACTGCATCTTCAGCATAAGCTGCTGCTGGAAATGTTTTTTTTAAAATCACAGAGCAGCAGGAAAGACTTGAGCTACCTTTCGTGCCATGTTTTCCCCCGGCTCTCTTCTGAGGGGCGAGGGAAAGTTGAAAGTTAAAAGTGGTGTAAAGATATAATCAAAGGCAGCTGACCTTTTTGCAACAAGCAAGGAAAGCCCCATGACTTTGAATTTGAAAAAAAAAAAAATAATAATTAAAAAATAATTTTTATCTTGATAATATAGTGGTAGCCAACCATTCTGGATGCTCAAGGTAGGAGGTCAGCCTTTTGCGACACAAAAGCCTTTTGCAGGAGCAGGGAGGGG